ATTGAAGACTCACACTGGCTCCTAACTCCTTATTAAATTTCACGCTAGCATAACAGGACATTCAAGAACCCTCTCTACGTATGCCATGCACCTGTATTTACTGAACAAGTGAATGCTATAGGGCAAGGATCTAATTTTGAACTTAGAACGAACAAGACTTATTAGATTAGATGTGTATGAGGAAAAAAAGCAGAGTCAAGGAGTACTCTTCAAGTTTTAGCAACTGGATAAACAGCACTACCATTTAATGACATAGGAAGCCTGGGTGAGGAGCAGGTCTTGGGAGTAAAGACTGGAAATAAACAGTTCTACAATCCAGGTAAACTGTATTTTATTTTCCAAATAATGTTTTTGTCTGGAATACCATTTCACATTCTCCTTCTGATAAAATCTATTGTAAAAATAGCATGGCAGACGCATCGGACCACTTAACTTCATAAGGTGGAGAGGCAATCACCATCAGCATTAGCCCAAGGCTGATTTCTATGAAGTCAGACATATCTCCTCTCTCCAACAATTCTGACACCAAAAGTCCCTCCTCCAGCACTCTCTATTGTTGTTATGTGCCATTGAGTCGAGCTTGACTCACAGCGACCCTTCCTTGGGTTTGAGGTGGTATCGCTATGGAAATAGATTGCCCAATCATCCATCCAAGGAGTGGCTGGTGGGTTTGAACCGCCAGCCTTCTGGTTAGCAGTCAAGTGCTTTAGGCACTATGCTACCAGAGTTCCTAGCACTCTCTACTAGGTTTGATTAATTCACTGTAATAGCCACACAGAACTCACAGACAATACTCACAATTATGGGGTTTATTAGGGAAGTAACATGTTACAATTCAGGATACAGTTCTTTAGATAGGCCAGCTTCTCAGCTGTGTCCATAGGTAGGCTTCTCCCTGATCCTCAGCCTCTTGGCCTCTGGGGACCTCCTGGACTGGCCCAGTCTCTGCCCTGCTTGGGGATATGTTACAGTTCTTTAGCTCTACCAACAAGGGCCCAGAGACACCCCATGTGGCTAGTAAGCCTCCTGCCGGAAGGCACTAAAAAACCAGGAAGCCCACTGTACTGACTTACGCTGGTCTCCTGGTTCCACTGCCTCTGCTGCTGCTATTTCTCTGCCACTGCTTCTCACTGTCTCTCACCATCTCAGGTGTTACAGCTGTCTTCTGGGTCTAGACAGTTCTCAGTGTAAGGATCCCAGGTTTAAAGGACATGCTCTACTCATAGCTCTTCTTTCTTGCTGGTAGTGAGGTCTCCCTCTGCTGTAAGACTGGCTCTTTTAAACCTAGTGGGATGGCGAAACCAACCAATCCTGTGGTGAGGGTTCCAGACACTTTATTTGCATGATCCCATCCCCTCAGGGTTCCATGTACTTTTTCTATATCATTAGCAAGCTATCCTACTTCCGTAATGATACTGCCTCGGAAACCCAAGGAGGGGTCGCTATGAGTCGGGGCCAACTCGACGGCAAACAACAACAACAATTCAATCCCCTTGGTGGGCCACAAGCACCTTATTTGCATGTTGTTGTTGCTACATGCTATCAGGTGTCGGCTCCAACTCATAGTGACCCTATGCACAAGAGAATGAAACACAGCTCAGTTGTGGGCCACCCTTACAGCCCTTGATATACCTGAGTCCACTGCTATAGCCACTGTGTCAATCCATCTCATTAAGGGTCTTATCCCTTTTCACTGAACCTCCACTTTATCAATCACATGCTTCTCCAGGAAATGGTCCCTTCTGACATGACCAAAATAAGTGAGACAAAGATTGGCCATTCTCATTTCCAAGGAGCATTCTGGCTGCACTTCTTCCAGGACAGATTTGTTCATTCTTCTGGCGGTCCATCATACTTTCAGTATTCTTCACCAACATCACAATTCAAAAGCATCAACTCTTCAACAGTCTTCTTCATTCACTGCCCAGCTTTCACATGCACATGAGGCAATTGAAAATACCATGGCTTGGGTTATGTGTATTTTATTCTTCAAAGAGACATCTTGCTCTCCAGCACTTTAAAAAGGTCTTGTGCAACAGAAGTGCCAAGTGCAATACAGTATCTGACTTCCTGACTGATGCTTCCATGGGTGCCAATTGTGGATCCAAGTAATATGAAATCTTTGACAACTTTAATCATTTCTCCATTTATAATGATTCTGCATATTGGTCCAGTTATGAGGATTTTTCATTTTCTTTGAGATGTAATCCATACCACAGACTGTAGTCTTTAATCTTCATCAGTAAGTGCTTCAAGTCATCTTCACAATCAGCAAGCAAGGTTGTGTTATCTGCATATCGCATGTTGTTAATGAGTCCTCCTCCAAACCTGATGCCACATTCTTTATATACTTCAGCAACTCAGATTATTTGCTCAGCATACAGATTGAGTAAGTACGATGAAAGGATACAACTCTGACACACTCCCTTCCTGATTTTAAACCATGCAGTATCTCCTTGTTCTGTTTGAATGACAGCTTTCTGGTCTATGTACAGGTTCCTCATAAGCACAATTAGTTGTTCTGCAATTCACATTCTTCTCAACGTTATCCATACTTTGTTATGATCCACACAGTTGGATTTATTCATATAATCAATAAAACACAAGTAAACATCTTTCTGGTATTCTCTCCTTTCAGCCAAGATCTATCTGACATCAGCAGTGATATTCCTTGTTCCATGTCCTCTTCTGAATCCAGCTTGCATTTCCAGAAGTTCCCTGTCAATATACTGTTACAACTGTCTCTTAATTATCTTCAGCAAGATTTTACTTGTGTGTGATACTAATGATGTAGCTCGATACTTTCTACATCCTGTGGGATCACTTTTCTTTGGAATGGGTGTAAATATGGATCCCTTCCTGTCAGTTGGCCAGGTAGCTATTTTCCAAATTTCTTGGCATAGACAAGCAAGTGTCTCTTGCACAGCATTCATTTGTTGAAGCATTTCAATGGGTATGCTGTCAATTCCTGGAGTCCTGTTTTTTGCCAATTCCCTCAGCGTAGCTTTGACTTCTTCAGTAACATTGGTTCTTGATCATATGCCACCTCCTTAAGTATATAAATAGTGACTGATTCTTTTTGGTACAGTCTCTCTGTGTATTCCTTCCATCTTCTTTTGATGTTTCCTGCACCATTCAGTATTTTGTCCTTAGATTCTTTCAATATTGCAACTTGAGGCTTGAATTTTCTCTTCCGTTCTTTCAGCTTTAGAAATGCCAAGAATGTTTTTCCCTTCTGGTTTTCTAACTCCAAGTCTTTGCACATTTGATTATAATAACTGACTCTGTCTTCTCAAACTGCTCTTTGAAGTCTTCTGTTCATTTCTTTTATCTTGCTATTTCTTCCATTTGCTTTAGTTACTCTGTTCAAGAGCAAGTGTCAGCATCTCGTCTAACATCCACTTTGGCCTTTTCTTCCTTTACTGTCTTTTTAATGACCTTTTGCTTTCTTCATGTATGATGTTCTTGATGCAATCCCACAATTCATCTGCTGTTCAGTCACTGGTGTTCAATGTGTCAAATCTATTCTTCAGATGGGATAAACTCATAATTATAATTCAGGTAGGATATAATCGAAGTCATATTTTGGCTTTTATGGACTTGTTTTAATTTTCTTCAGCTTAAACCTGCATATGAGCAGCTGATGGTCTATTCCACAGTCAACTCCTGGTCTGATTATAGCTAAATATATTGAGCTTCTCTATCTCTTCTTTCCACAGATGTAGTTGATCTGAGTCCTGTGTATTCCATCCAGTGAGGTCCACATGTATAGTCACTGTT